ATTTCTCGTTACATACACGATACACGCATGAGCCGAACCGGGCCAAGATTCTTTATTGTACTGTGTATTATATACAACGACGTTTGGAAAAGAATAAGTCGAGTGAGCTTAACAACAACAACAACAATAACAACAAAAGCAATTATCATCATTTATATCTATCCGATATATTCAATTTAACACTAGGAGAAAAAACACAAACACACTACAGTAAGGAAGGTGAACAAGATCGTTAGCGGTATTGTAATACGCACACTGAATGGGTCAAATGATCAGACAATACGAACCTGATTCATGTAGATATCATTCTGACCGTACATCCACAAAGCTCGTTGTTGCGAAGACTGGTGGTTCAAATCAAGCATGTTGCTGACTGCTTGAACACTAGAGAGTAGTAATAATGTGAAAGAGTATATGGTATACTAGTAATAATATTGAACTGACCAATATTCTTTTCCTTGCCTCTCGGACATGTGTTACGTTCATTATCTTTCATTGTGATTACACACTTACCACAACGCGAAGTAGATTTTATATTGTAGCAAAAAAATCAATACAATTGGCTCAATTAGAGGTTAATAATAAAGTCAATTACAAAAAATAAAACAGAGCAATATCTTGTTATTATCGTTCTTAGAATCGCAAATAAAAGGGTTAAAGAAATAAAAGAAACCTGGTTTCTGTTAACATGATGCAAACACTTGATGAAACTTAGACAAATGATAAAAAAAAACATTTGTAATGTATTACGATTTGCCCACAGATGCACAATCGAATCATCGATTTCCAGTGTATCGTTGAAAACAATCTTACACTCTATTGTCAGTGAATTGGACGTCGTTATAGGTATAACGTCCAACTCGTGAACGGCTTTCATCGGAACATAAATTATTTAAAATATTCAATAATTAATCCATTAATCGAATAAACTATTAACTAATTCCCTGACACGTTTTAACTGAATGATTTATCAGTGACGTGAACACATTAAATATTATTGTGAAAATTATGCTTCGTGTACAGCCGATTATAGGTGTCAATGATAAACTTTGAGTTACCTAACAGTGTCTCGATACTGAATAAAGTCATACATACATTAGCTGTGCTTCCGTTCTTTAATATAATTTACTATTTCAAAGTATGTCCCCATTTAAACAACATTCTGTCCGTGTGAACACGCAACTTGCAATGTATATACTTGCAGCTAGAATGTGAGAGTTTATATGTGCAGCTTGGCAGAGAGACGATGTGTTCTCCCTTCATTTGAATATTATAATAAGCAGCTCCAATTTCCAAACACATTCATAGTATTCTGGGCATGACGTACCAGTTCGGCCGTTGACTTTGACGGTAACTTTCTGTGTAGGTGTTGCTATAATAGTTTTCTAAAAATATTCGAACAAATATTCTCTGTATACCTTTAGTTCATATGCAAAGCCCATATTATATAGCATGAAATACTAGTTGTAGGGTTAACAATTGAGTTGTGTATTTGCGCTATGATGGAGACATCGTAATCAACTTTAAACAAATATCTTCACTTGACAGATGAACTTGTGCCTTATATTACACAAGGTAAACCCTGAGAGGAGGATTT